AGGAGGACCTGGACATTGTACACAGGTTGCCATGCGCAGTGTGATTGCAAGCACTGTTACCTGCTTTTCTATCTTCCTGGCCCTCTAGGCAATTTTTCTATACAATTTTTTAGTTCTTGTTTTTCAGCATAGTAAGTGTTCATGGTTTATTAACTTAGTAGCTGGCTGTTACACCTGCATTTGTAGAAATATAAGCAATTTTTAAAAGACTAATTCAACATAAACCTTTCTGTGTTATATCTAAACAGTAATGATTAAGAAGCCAATTTTGCTCCTGGGATATGCGTTGTCGGTGACGCTAACATTCATGTTAGAACATGAATGTTCTGATTTACTCAGAACCGCCATTCTGTTTTATAGATGTAAACTCCTTGTACTAATAAATTGTCTAGTATAAAATTTATTTAGATGAGAAATTAAAGTCACTAGAAGTTAAGCATAACTTGAAGTGGGTGTACAATTACATGATGGGAGAGTTCTATCCAGGAGAAGACTTGTGAGCCTATGCCTACTTCAAATATGAAAACACTAGAACCAAAGGATATGATAGGTGTTTCATATGCCAAGTTACATGTGAGTAATTTGGTTTTGGTTGAACTGTAATTAGAAAAGGTTTTCTGTATTAGCTTTGATGAGAACATTTTGGAAAGGCACCAGTATGTTTTGTTTTTAGAGGTTCTATGGCAGTATGTTCAGACCCTTCACCATTCTCGCCTGTAGCAAAATGGAACCACTGGGTTAAATTGCTTGTCCAAGGTCTACAGCTAATGAATGATTGTACCAGTGCTTGGATTCCAACACTCATTCTCTGGACTAATCTACCGCCTTCCTCATAAGCAGTTATTGTAGTATTAGCCTTCTATATATGAGTACTTGCTTCCTCTTGAGACAATGGCTGCTGCTTCTGCTAGAGAAGTGTGCAGACAGACTCTCGCTAGGGCTTCTTCGCTTTCCAGGTACTTGCGATGTACGCCATGTTGTCTTCAAACTCGGAGAGCTCCACCAGCTTGTTTCCCAAATGCTGAGATTAAGGGTGTGCGCCACCATACCCGGCCACTACTAAAGATTTTGACAAAGTCCCAAAGGTCCTAATAAATATATTTCCATGGTGTAAGTTCTAAAGAAAAGGTCCTGAAATGTGAACTTTTATGGCAGATTAAAAGAAAAAAAAGAAAGATAGGTTGTTCTGTATTTTTAGAAATTGAGATATATTCAGTCTCATGAGAAGACCTAGTATAAATACTACCAACATTTTTTTTTTTTTTTTTTTTTTTTTTTGCATCACTGCCTTGGAATTTCCCTTGGAAACCCAATGTGTGATTTGGAAACTTTTTGATTTTAGGACTTTTGGAGGGGCTTTTTTTATGTGATCTGTGTGTTTTATGTTGGTTATCCACCTTTTTAAAATTTTAGTTGAAATTCAAGGAATTTGATCATATTTGCATATTTTAGAAAGCATTTAACTTCACCCATTTATAGATAAAGCTCTGAATAATTCAAACTTAATCATGTGATATGATATGAAGCTAATTATATGATTTGCAAGTTCAAAATATGAGACTGTTAAAATGGAATTCATTGATTTGACAAGTAATATATAATTTACATTCATGAATATCATTTTGTCTTTTTTTTCTTTTCTTTTTCTTTCTTTCTTCCTTTTTTTTTTTTTTTTTTGAGACAGGGTTTTTCTGGGTAGCCTTGGCTATCCTGGACTCATTTTTATAGACTAGGTTGCACTTGAAATCACAGTGATCCATCTGCCTCTGCCTCTGCCTTTCCAAATACTGGGATTAAAGGCACACACCACCACACCCAGCTGAATATTGTTTTCTAACATTTGGAATGTTGTATATCATTTCCACTTTTTAAAAGTAGAAAAAGGGCTGGGCACATGGCTCAGTTGTTAAGGTACTCTCTGAGGACTTGAATTCAGGTCCCCAGTACTCATGTAAAAACTAACTACAGCAGAACATGCTTATAATCCAGTACTGAGAGGGTAGGAACAGGAGTTTTGATGAGGTCTTCTGGCCAACTAGCCACATGGACAAGGTTCAGAGAGAGAGAGCTAATCTCAAAAAATAAGGTGGAGAGTGATTGAAAAGATAGTAATGCCAACTTCTGGACTCACAGGAATTTATTCACATACACACAAAGTTTAGTTTACAGCTTTCTTTTCATTACAGTTCCATTTTTAAAATAATATGTGGATATAGACACAGTTAGCTGGACATTTTTCTTAACCTAGGTTGATACAGAGTGAGCTGTGACTAGAACAACATTGGAGAAACCGAAGTCTCCTTGTGTGAGAGTAAAATCAGAATTTTTTTCTATTACAAAATGTACTGTTAGAAAATGTGCTCTTCCATGTGTATATTTAGAGTTCTTTGACGTTATGTTAGTCATTAGTATCAAGAATTCTACATTGGTATGCTTATTGCTTTGAATACATTTTTTAAATTTCAAGCTTAATTATGTAACTTCTAGTTTACTTTATATTTAAGTTCCAAATTCCTCTAAGTTTTTGTCTGAAAATTCGTGTTACATTTATGAAAATCTCTTCTTCCCCATATTCAAACTAAGTAATCTTTACTTTTTCTACATAAGTATTTTTATACTACAGATTTAATTTAGTAAAATTATCAGAATTAGTAAGATAGATTTTTTAATTTATAAACTTCAAACAGGATAAATTATGTTATCATTGATATGCTAAAAGTCATTTTGAAATGCTTTAGGCATTGGTTCTGTTGTTGATACATCTTTGTGTTATAGCAAATATAGGGAGGAGCTAGTATTACCTGCTCTTATAAGTAAAAGGCCCTTTATTAAGATATGTACCATTTATACCTGCCTCATAAATTTAGTACTGTCAATTCTCTAGTGGGACTCCTGTAGTTATCATTTGAATACGAGGTACATGATTGTTTGTGCCATTGCGTACATGCATTTAAAATTTTACTATATTTAGATTGATTTATTTTTATGTCTACCTTTTGCCTTTGTGTATATATGTTTACTTTGTGTGCCTGGTATTTCCAGAGATCAGAACAGGCAGTTAATCTCCTGGAATTCAAATTACACATGATTAGAACCACCATGTGGGTTCAGGGAACTGAACCCAGACTTTCAATAAGAATAAGTGCTCATCACCATAATCTTTCCAGCCCTGCTCATGAATTTTAAACTCATGGTTATAGACTATATATATATATATATATATATATATATATATATATATATATATATATATATAT